TATGTGCGCCAGTTCAAGTTGCTACACTCCCTCCATGTAGCACACAAAGCAAGAGAAGAAATGCATAATATAGACAGTAAACAGAGGTGTGAGACGAAGGAATAGTAATAACGAAGAACAAAACAGTTTCATTGGAAATTATAAGTCACAAGGAGTGGATGCATGTGCGCTGTGCATTGAGGACGATTTTGAGCAGTGTCACCAAGTGTTTCCAACCATTGGTTTTTACCTTCCCGAGTACCCCAACCAGTCAGGAAGTCTACACTTCGCTACGTGACTGGCTAGCTTAAACTAACTGTTGTGGATTTCATTAACTGATGAAGTCATTTTTTCGTTTGACCACCACCGGCTCTTTTCCAACATGACCCTATGTGAGGTAACATTGCCTGTCGAGGAAGGCGATGACTAGGCGTACGTAACACATGTCCTAACCACCTCAGTCGATGTTACTTCGCAGCCTCGTCGTCTATTGATTTCCCCTTCTTACCTGGCACTCGACGCCTAACCTCAATATTGCTCACCTTATTATACCACTTCACACGGGAGATAGAACGCAGGCACCTGAAATCAAAGACAGCTAATCTTTTCATGTCTTCCACTCTCAATGGCTAGGTCTCACAGCGATAAAGGAGGACGGAGCGGGCTGCTGAACAGTACACGCGTCCTTTGGTCGATAGCCAGCCGGATATCACGTCTACGCCAGAGACGGCGTAAACTGGCATATGCGAAACTAGCCCTGTGTATCCGTTCTGAGATTTCGTCAGAGATGAACCCGTTGGGGCTAATGGTACTTCCCAAGTAAGTGAAGCTGTCAACGTGCTCCACCACTTCACTTCCTATTTCTAATCTAGGATTCGGTGTAGGCCAATCCTGTAACATCATCTTACATTTGGCGGGATCGAATCTCATGTCAAACATTCGTAGATTGCAGCTCAAAGTGTTCGGAAGACTCTGCCGCGAAATTGACATCCCAGTAATCAAGGCACCCTACCCGAACCCACTCAACTTTGGTTGTCTTGTTACCAGGATATAGTCTTGATGAATTAGAGTATGCAAATGATATAGTCCTTCAAGGTGAAGACTTTGACATAACCAAGCAGAGTCTTCTAAAAACCTATAGCAGAAATCTTCGGCAAAGTTAAACTTTAAGCACCACTAACTACCACCAATCAGCGAATGACCTCGAACGCGCACCAATCACGTGAAGGATACATTCCTCTCATATGTGATAAAAATAGCTCTCAGTTTTAGGTTGGAGTATCAACAGAGTGTAATTCCATTGTGGGTAAAATTTATTTTGATAAAGTCTCATAGAGTATTACAGTAAAAATTTACTGAGGAGCAAATTGTGATCGAAACGTCATCAGTAAATGTGACTGTATAACACTGTGAGACTTTATCAAAATAAATTTGACCCATAATGAAATTATACTCCACCACAGTGCACAAGTTCTTATTCTTGTATCAACAGAGTAATTCAACTACAGTCAATGCATGTAACTATTTAAGTCTTCTAAACCTAACAACAACATGAATCTTTCCTGAACCTAACCCTAACGTAAAAAATATCCCTAAACTAACTGTAATCTAACTCGAACCAACCTTAATGTCACCTTTATTAGGTTAACTTAACCCTAACTTGTCCTTGGCTTAAAGAGTAACTTAATCTTTTCCATGCCTAAACTGAAACTTGCCAGAAATACCATTCAGTAGCATAACACTTCGATGAGCATATTTTATTGATGATGACAACATTATTTGTCAGGTTTCACTGACTTGCTCAGTGAGCGTTTCTAGGTCATTGGTGTGGTCGCACTCCATTGGTAGTTAGTCAGTGGTGCTTAAAGTTTAACTTGGTCAAATCTTCGAATGTTTTTGACATGAGATTTATTCCTGTAAGATGATGATGCTATAGGACTAGTCTGCATTGACTCCTAGCTTAAAGATGGATAGGAATGTTGTGATGTTGGTAGAGTGTGCTGACCAATTCACTTATTTTTAGGAGGAAGTTGCATCAGTCAGTTCCAGCGGCTGGATTGCTGACGAAATCTCATCATAGATTCGAAAGACTTGTTTGACTTTTGTTCATATACGCTATGTCTCAGGCATAGATAGACGTGATATCTGACTGTTGACCAAAGGAGGTGTATACTGCGCACCAATTCCCCGTGTGTCCTCCTTTGTGTCTGTAAGACATGGCTATTGAAGATGGAAGATATGAAAAGGTTAGCTATCTTTGATCATAGATGTCTTCGTTCTATCTTCCGTGTTAGGTGTCTCCTCCCTAGACGAGCAACATTAGGTGACGTAGGATTAGCTGCTGCTGCTGCTGGATTCAACATAGAACTTGGCACCGAAGTGCAGCAGTTCGAGTTGCCACGTTCCAAATAGCACACAAAGGTAGACAGGAAAATGAGAGAAGAGAATCAATAGAATTTAGATAAGTATAAGAGTGAAAGAGAATGAGTAATGGTAGAAAGGAATATGAAGGTTAAAGAGACCGAAAGAGCACTGGAATCGGTCCAACCAAAACTTGGAATCACTCCATGAATTCTTTGTCAGTTAGTTTGTGAACCAACCACATCGGGAGGTGTAGAATACCTGGTTTTGGGGTCCTCAAGATGCTAAGAACGAATAGCTGGAGACAATTGGTGGTGATATGTCTCGAAATTGCTGACACTTTTTGTGATCTCTTATATTCAATAAAACCCTATTCTTTTTCCCTCACATTTCTGCTTATCGTCCTTTCGAATCTGTTTTCTCTCTCTTTTGTCTTCCTCTGTGTTTTACATGAAGTGTGTGAGAACTTGAAGTGCAAGGTTCTATGTTGAAACCAGTTCATCATAAAACCAACTTCTCAAGGACTAATTTGTAAAGATTTGATTTGTCTGTCAGCTTTCACTCTTATCTGATATTTGAATAAGGCAAGGACGAAAACAGTGGTTTGTGCAGAATAAGACGATAGTACCATCATTGCTTATTTCGTTGGCTTCTCATCACCTACTTACAGCCCTAAGACATTATTATTAAGTTTATGTACAGAAACAATTTTAACTTACGTGTTTAACGACAGAAGACAAGGACCAAGCAACAGATCGTTTATTGAGAAAATCAACAGATATTTATATATTTTTATGTACATTATTATTCGTTATTATTAGCAGAGAAACAGCGTCTTCTGATTGGTCGTTTTCTCGCTGAAAGTTATTCTCTCATATCTTTGTGACTGTTTCTTTGAAGGTCAGACCATACATCTACGAGTCGTATCCGCCCACGCAAAGTCTACTGTGATTGGTTGTTGAGTTAGTCTATGTTCTCGTTTTTTTTCTCATGATCAAGATTTAGGACGTTAACATTGACGTAAATTCCTGTCTGCCAATTTTGGCTAGCAAGACAGCTCTCACCACACGTGCACAGAGTTCATTTTTTAGCAAAAAAATCAATATACGCATACAATAATAGCAATAATAACAATGATCACTTTATTCCAAACAATTGTGATCATACACAATAGAAAATTTCGGCATTATTTATTAGATGAAAAAATCCATTACCTGAAACCTGATTTATGTGTGTGTTCAGAAAGAAGCGGTTATCAGTCTTTCCTTGGTCTGTCTGGTAACTGGATTTTTTCATCCTCTCTTTCATCTGATTGCATAACGCCGAAAGTTTCTATTGTGTGTGATTATTATTGTTTGGGATAAAGTGTTTATTATTATCAGCATTGTATGCAAATATTGATTTTTTTTCTATTTAGAAATGAACTGTCTGTGCCAGTATATTAAAAATGTTTCTGTACATAAACTTAATACTGTCTTTTCTTTGGGCTGGATGAACAGCTGAGCTGATGAGAAGCCAACGAAACAAGCACTGATGGATGGTACCATCGTCTTATTCTGCACAAACCACTGCTTTTGTTCTTGCCTTTTTCAAATTCATGATGGCAACAAATGTATGGGATGATATTTCTTCTTTGCCTCCTTTGAGAGATGCACAACATTCGGCGGTTGAAAGCGCCAATTAAAAAAGGTTACAGGATTTTCATCATGAGCTGACATTAGTTAGAGAACCATTGGAAAACCAACAGGGAGTACTGGACAGCTGTTTCGTCAGCCTAGTTAGGGACCTTTCATCAGTACACACCCACCGGGATTCGAACCCAGGACCTTCTGGTTACAAGGTGAGCTAGCTCGTATACCATTAAGCCACTGGGACCCGATCCAATGGTCCATGAATTCTAACTTCGGGCGTGAGGACAAATACTCGCCGAAGACATTGGCTAGGGGTCGCGCTATGTCGTGAATTGGCAGAAGTTAGAATTCACGGACTGGCCATTGGATCGGGTCCCAGTGGCTTAATGGTATACGAGCTAGCTCACCTTGTAACCGGAAGGTCCTGGGTTCGAATCCCGGTGGGTGTGTACTGATGAAGGGTCCCTAACTAGGCTGACGAAACAGCTGTCCAGTACTCCCTGTTGGTTTTCCAATGGTTCTCTAACTAATGTCAGCTCATGATGAAAATTATAATTTTCCAAATTATTTTATTTTTATTTTGACCACTTCATCTTTAATTACGTGTTATCGTTGTAAAATTAATTTATTCTAACCATTTCTACCTTTTAAATGTGTATTGATTTTCTTCGTTAACTATCAACCCATTGACAAACTTATCGCCACTTGATTGGTAAACTGTTGTGTATTGTAATAAAAATGCTATAGATGTATATATATTAGAGTAGAGCCAGAGTGAGATGAGGATCTTTAATTGAAAAGTAAATATTTCTTCGCTGCTCAATCTTTCTGTTTTCTAAGGGAGCAATTGTATGCGATATTGAATGATAAAGTATTTTGATAGCTCAAGTTTTAAAAAGCCCGCCTCTTATCTAGTAAACTTATCGATATTCATTCCCTTTTTCGTTTCTTATTATTTTTTTTGTGCTATTTTTATCAGACTACTTATTTTATCATCTCTGTTTCTCTCTTTTTTCCATTGACCGACAGACTATCATCATCATCATCACAGCAACAATCTCGTTCCACTATACTATCACGTGATAGAGATACAGCTGCACTATTGACAAATAATAATTCCAGTGTAGTAAGCCTACGCTTATTAAAACAATCATTGAATGGTGGGGGTGCTAGTGGTGGTGGTGGTGGTGGTTGTAACACATTGAATTCTTCTTCGCATAATAAAATTTCACGTAGCCTGATGAAACTACCTGAGATCCCTTCAGAATTTAACAATCATAGTAATAATAATGATAACAATACACCAACATTACTGTCTATGCCTAATTTTAATAACTGGGATTTTAACAATTCTGATTGGTTGAAATTGTCTAGTGTTGCAAGTCCATTGTTATCGGCGTCGTCGTCGTCTTCACCACCACCACCACCACAACCACAACCACCAACGGCAGCAGCAGCATCAACAACAGCTACAGCTACAGCTACAACTAAGACACCACTTCAAGGATTATGGCAGTTATCAGAAGAAGTAGAATTTCACAGAAAGAGTTTATCCTATGTAGCACAAATGATCAAAGCAAACAATCAGAATTTAAATACTACTACTACTACAATGTCAATGATGAATAAAACTAAAGGCGATTTAGAGGTAAGAGTTTATTTATTTATTTATTTAGTATTTTTCCTATACTTTTGCGATAAACAATTACTTTCAAGTATTGATTTGTAGGGATTTGATTGATTGATTGATTACAGGATTTCATCATGAGCTGACATCTGTTGGTTAGAGAACCATTGGAAAACTAACTGGGAGTACTGCTAGACAGCTGTTTTGTCAGCCTAGTTTGGGACTCTTCATTGGCACGCACCCACCGACAGGGTCTCGAACCCAGCACTTTCTGGTGACTACTTCGCGCAATGTCTTCTTCGATGAGTTACTGCCTCACCTTCGACCTGCTGTACCCTACTGGTCACGGCGTCCCACTAGAACCTCAGGTAACTACTACCTGCCTGAATAGGCGCAGTTGCTAGTGAGCATCTCATTGATTTTCAAGTATTGGTTTGTAGGGATTTTATGCATTGATCTGCATTCTATCTCCCCTGTGAGATGATTAACACTGTGGTTAGGCGTCGAGTGTTAGGGGTAAGCAGGGAAAGTCAATCGATGACGATATGTGTTGTGTATTGTGAGCCATTGTCTTCCTTGACGATCAATGTTAACTGACATAGGATCGATCAGGTTGGATGAAAATTAGTGGCGGTCAAAGCAAAACGTCTCATCAATCTATGAACCAGCCATGTAAGGAGATGTAGACTGGCCGATTGCAGTCCTCCGGTTGCTGCGAACTAATAGCTGAAAATGATTGGTGGTGGGTGATATGGTTTAAAGTCGTTGTCAATAGCTGGCGAAGATGCATTCACTCTTTGTGATCTTCCATAGCCAATAAACAAAAAATCCTATCGTTTCCACATGTTAGCATTCTTTCTCCTTGACACTGCTGCTTATCGTGGTCCTTTCGAATATCTGTTCTTACCTCTGCTTTGTCTTCCTCTGTGTGTGTGGTACATGGAGTGTGGCGAGTTGAACTGCTGTATTTCTGCTGAAACTAGTCGATTGGTCGGTCAGTCAGGCAGTCACTGGTTATATATATATATATATATATATATATATATATATATATATATATATATATAACAGTGCGACTGTTAAGCTCCTTCCACTTCTTATTTGAAACCATAAGTAGAGTGGTGTGAACGGTTAATAGTAGAAAGGGTATAGCAAGGGAATCAGACCTAAGAGGTTAATTATGTCTGAAATCAATTTGACCACAGAGAACATAGTCTCGTGCTATGCATAAAATATGTTTATTTGGCGTGTAATTACTTTAATTTTAACTAAGAAAGGGAGAGAGAGGGAGTAAATCACTGTCCTACCTAGTGTTCTGAAAATGTGAAATAACTACAGTAGAAGGCAGGTAATGCATGCGAAAACTAGGTTGGATGAATGCAGCTCCCAGATCGTACTTCATTGTGGACTACTGGTCTCATGGGTGGGCTGCAATACATCTCGGTTAGCAAGCGGGGTTGGGGATTAACATCTAGATAACCCACCAGTTAAAAACAAACCAATGAGTCACTTTCACTAACCCATATAATACTATCGAGTCATTTCGAAACATCCTGTCATAATTGCTAAGAAACAGACCTCCTTAGGCTTAGGCACATTGTTTTCCAATTATCATGGTATTTTTTATCCATAGTTTTGGCTGTTTATGCTAAACACTAGGTTGTAGAATCTTGTAATCAGATTTTACTGTAGCTAGCTAGCTAGCTAGCTATGGTCCTCTCACATGATCTGGGTTCGATTCCCTGCCGATCTACTCTTTAACCTCGTTCCTTTTATTTTATTCCTTTGCGTTCCTAGTGGAACATAGAACTTCAAGCTTGATCTGTGAAGTTTCAGTAGCACAGTGGTGTTTATTCTTTGCAGGGTAGGGTGGGTTGCTAACCTCACAGCCAACCTTCTCTCTCTACTGGACTTATTACCGGTTAAGCGACGTTTAGGAGTGCGTCGGCTGGGGATCGAACCACAGACCCCACGTGGGTCGTTGGCGGTGAGTATTCTACCACTGAAGCACCAATGCACTAAACTTCGTTTAGCCGGTGCTAATCTCGGAAAAGATGAGACTAGCAACCCAACGCATTCCGTAAAACAAAGCACTACTAGCAATAATGAGACTTCAACGCTGAAGCTTGAAACGCACTTGAAAGTGTAAAGCAGTACGAAATTTCTTTAGAAACTGATATCAGTTGACGAATCTCTGGAAATCAAGGACTTATTGCACAGAGATTTCATCCTAGTTTGGGACTCCTCAGTAACAACAACCGAACTCTTAACCTTCGGCCTAAAGACGTGGCGAGAAATGTTGAGACACCAGCTTGGGAAGAGTAAATTTACCAATCCAAATGCTTTCGAATCATACCACAATCAGAGCTTCTATCACATAAAACTGTAAAGACTATTTAAAAAGTAAGGAAGTGAGAAGCAGTTTTGTTAGTCTTGAAAACGACGAAACCCCAGGACGAGAGGATCAGTAAAGTTCTATTTCAGTAGACATGCAAGGCGTCACGGCGCGCTAAAGCCACTACAACCAATTTGGATATTACTGTAACATTGCTGTGTGGTATTACATTATTCATCCAAGAGTAAATGTACCGCGTAGCAGTCCATCCAGCCATACTTTATCGGTGTGAAATATGGTCAATAAAATCATACGATATGAATAGATCACGGGTATTAAGCCATAGATGGTTGCCTTGACTTCAGCGCTTACCTGAGATGGAACCACATGGTGTAAGAAAGGCACATCGATTAAGGTGGATAAGACATATCTTACGAATGCAAACATTTCGGTTCTCAGGAGTCAATGCTGTCAAAAGACTTCGACTGTAATTGTTTTGTTCGTGTGCTTTTGTTCTGTTGTATAACATTTCACTTAATTTTGACTTTTCACTAACTATTAAGTTTCTAAATCTACTTAATCTTGTATTGTCTATCTTATAATTCTACTTTACTATTCACTCCCATCCTCTTGAATTCTCCAAAATAATATGCATAAATTCATTGTAACCAAGACGGTCCTGGGTTCGAATCCCGGTGGGTGCGTACTGCTGAAGAGTCCCAAACTAGACTGACGAAACAGCTGCTGTCTGGCAGTACTCCCAGTTGGTTTTCCAATGGTTCTCTAACCAATGTGTCAGCTCATGATGAAATTCCTGTAACCAATCAAATCCCTGCAAGCCAAAACTTGAATAAATTCATCATTCTGTTGTTGTCCAGTCTTGTATTTTGTCTCTAGTCATCAATCCTTGTTTCAAAGTCAAATCTGAACGCTACTCTCTCCTCTTGTCTAATTATACTATAAATAGTTAGCCCCTTTGTTTTAACACTGAATAATTTGTCTAATTACAACATTTTTAGAATTGTGTTGCTAATACTTTCTTTGCTTAACTCGACGCCATTGTGAGAAAAGTACGTTCAGAAATGATTGTGTTTAGTAGTAGCATGTAGGCAGTTGAGAAAAAAAAACTCCAAGAAATAAAACGAGCTCGTATTATCCTCCTATCCGCAAATATGTGTTCACTCTTTTTCTTTGTTCAAACTAATAAAGGGAACCGATTGTATGAGAAACTGGTGTTAGACTGAATTAGTAGTATTCCAAAAATAATACTTTAGAATAATCACACCAAAAAACAAACAAACAATGGCATTCATCCTTGAAAAGAAAGAAATTACGAACTGTATATTTTTAGCTGAGATTTTCAGGATGCTATGGAATAATGGTTTGGTGACTCTTAGCAATGTGGCCTGATGTCACACAAACTCAAAAAAACATGACTTCAAGTGAACACAGAAGTGATGGAGATACCCGGTCAACACCACCAATCACTATCACAACAGGAAAACATTGGACAAGGTCGCTTCTTTGAGTAGGATCGTTTTGACTACAGGCGCCACGGATGAGAATGTCAAAGCCACCAGGAGTCGGCAAACCAAGACAGACACTCAATAATGTGAAATGAGTGTGGAAATCAGTTGTACTCACAAACAGCATAGAGAAAAAGTTTCGGATTTTCGACCCAAGCTTTAAATGAGTCAGTGCTTCTAATTATGTTTGAGAGACTTGACATATGAGTCATGAAGAGCATTTTGTGAACAGGCTACTGGAAACTTTCATCAACATATGTCTTCACTGCATACCGAAGATTACATAGCCAGAAAGGATAAGCAGGAAGAAAGTCTAGTCTAGTCTATCATCCGATAAACATGCCAAAGAAGACAGAGATTGACTGGACATCGTGCTCAAGACCCTCGATTGGAATCGACGATATAAGCATGGGTCATCGCATGAGAGCTTATGGTCAGTCGCGGAACCAGCTGAAGAGAACAGGATGAAATGAAAATGTGCTGTTTCACTCGGAAGCCGAGGGAATAATAACAACAACAATAATAGTGTATGTATATATATTAATGGAGATGCTTTAACCCTTCATGAAATGTAGAACAATCTCGGGTGCTCCATCACCTGATTATTGTCTTGTCTATCATCATTGTGTCATTATTAGATGGTTGGAGGTAATTGGCAGGAAGCCTTGGACCTAGGTTTCGTGCTACTTGGCACTCGTCAGCAAACTTGAAGGAATTCATGTACCTTCTGAGACTCGAACCCGCGTCACCCAGTGCTGCAGTGTGTCAGAGACGTTACCACTGAGCTATTCGGGCTCGTGATTGACCTCCAACCATCTAATATCATCAAGTCAATGTTCACCGTGATGGCGAGCTACCTAGAATGGTGGCCACATTGCAAACCTGACTGATAGAATTCAGTGCACACCAAAGAAAAGACTAGACATATCACACTAGTTACTAGTGTCCAATCAAAATATACCTGTCGTTTTTAGGTGGTAATTGCCATTGTAGTAGTAGTAGTAGTGTAACAACAAATGGCAAGACACGGAAGCCAAGGCATATTTTCCATTAATCTAACCGCTGTTTATGAGCATACAGTTTATATTCGTTAACCAATCACTGTGAGCGCGTGATTTTGGTTTACATCAAAAGACATGAAATAGAATAATCAAATATACATAGTATTCGGCTGCTAACGCAGTTATGAACTGTGAGAATAATAGTCTGTCGGAAGACATTGTCTGTATCACACTACCATCACAGTAGTTGTAATAGCTTGACCTGATTCATCTGTATGTTAATTTGCCTGTTGACAAATCCTTACAGACTATTATTGTTCCCTTGGGTTTCTAGTGGAACATAGGGCTTCAACTGCACGCCTCCACTTGCTTCTGTCTCCTGCTGTACTTTTCACCTGCATCCATTTTAATCCATACTGTTTCAACTCCTCCCTTTCACACGACCTCCTCCATGTCACCCACCCTTGGACGTCCCACTCGCCGCTTCCCTTTCGGGTTCCACTCGAGCGTTGGCCTGACGTGCGATGTCACCCAGCGGCCTCCTCAGCGAGTGTCCAATCCATCTCCACTTTCTCCTGCATATTTATTGGGCGATTAGTTCTTGTTTTGTTTGTTCCCATAGTTTCTTGTTGGTGATTCCGGCCATCTGATCTTCAGTATAGAAAGAAGACAGTTGTTGATAAAAGTCTACAACAGGCTGTTGGAAATATTTTTTGTGACCCACTGGCCAAGTTTCTGATCATCCGTATAGAAGAACTGACTGACTTGACGTTTGTATTGAAAATCCGAATCATTTTGTTGTTGATGTTGAGTTGAGTGACGAAGATTTCCAGATTGGTTTCAGGTTGATGAATGTGTTTCTCGCCTTACCGATTCTCGATTTGACATCCTCGTCTGTTCCTCCTGTAGTTGAGACAATGTTCCCTCCCGTTGATGGTGATTGGCGCTGGATGTTACTGCTGTTGTTGTCGGTTGGTTATTTTCCTAACCTCCGTCTTGTCTATGTTTACCTGGAGTCCTGTCTTTGCTGCTTCTTCAACCAGTTTGTCGGTTTTCGCTTGCAAGTCTTCAATTTTGTGTGACATCAAACATAAATCATCCACGCGCAAAATCCAGGTCTTCTAGGTTCTTTACGTCGGTGCAGGATATCCCTCCCTGTCTTACAGATTACTGTTGTTTAAATTTAAAGACCGATTATTATTTCACTTACCAAGTTATTTAACTAACTTATTCTTATTTTAAATCTATCTTTTCCAGGATGAAAGTGACCACCATCATCCCTTGCCTACTATATCATCTGATGATAGTCCAACTGATTTAAGCGCCACTGTCGCTGTCACCGACACCATCACCACCAACAGCATCGCTGCTACAACAGTAAACAACAACAGCAGCAGGAACACAATTGACTCTACACAACAAACTCGTAAACATCGATATTCATCTGATGAGCTGCTATTGACAAGAACAACATCACCATCACCGAGAACATCATCAATATTAAGTGCATCATTATCATCACCACCATTTTGGGCATCGAAATGTTCACGATTATTTGACGATAAACAACCACCACCACCACAACAACAACAACAACAGCTGCAACACCACCAACCACAACAGCACTATGATGAAACCATAAAGAATCCTTTTTATACAACAACAAATTCAGCTTTTTAATAAAACAAAGAATGCAATCCTAGAGTTTATTGATATTATTATTACTACTACTATTATTCTTAACATTATGATTATTATTACCACCACCACCACTATTGTTCTTCTTCCCCCACCCCCCAATCCCCACCTTTTGTTCCAATGAACGCACACACACATATATATGTTCAGAGAGAGAGAGAGATCAACTACAAACAAGCCTTACAGATCTAAATCATCACTGATACAATATTCATTGGTTTCTTTTAAGAAGAGAAAGGGACAATATGTTGACGATGATGATGATGATGGTGGGAGATCACAGATCACATCATGTTTTGCTCAAATAACTAAGTAACTAACTATAAACGCTTCCTTTGACATACATACACCCCCCCACACACACACACACCTTGATACATACATACATACATGCGTATGTGCGTGTATATATGTATGTATATGCTGGAGTGAGGCAAGCACCGCTATGAAACACTAGAGTTACATATTACTATTATTATTATTGTTATTATTTCTATTATTATAATACTATTTCTCCTTATGTACAAGAACCGTGCATTATTATTATTATTATTACCATTATTTCTGCATTGAAAGAATAAAATGTTTTATAGAAAATAAGGCTTTATTATTACTTTATTTACTTGTATTCTGCCTTTTATTTTAAAAAAGAAGAAATATACATATATTTATATAAATATTTTTACAATATTATCAATGAATAGAGATATAGATAGCGATGAAGATGATAATGAACAATGATTAATGACTATTATTATTATTCATGGGAATACAAAAGGCAAGAAGAATTTAAAACGGGGGGAGGGATGAGTGAAAATTGGAATTGTGTCGCCGGCTTTTTGTTTTTTATGCATTGAAATTTATACGTTTCGCTGTAAATCCACCTGGTCCAACAAGTGTTACTGTCCTTGGGGCGCCTGTCGCTGAGGTGACAGTAAATGCCGATGTATTTGTAAGAAATGATGATGTAGGTGGACCACCACCACCACCAAGACCAGCAACAATACTGCCAAGTGGACGTTTAAGACCCATTGTTAAATTAGCCATGGATGCACGACGTTCTGCTGAACTAATCATTAAGTTCACGTCTTGCAAATCTTTACCAGTACTACGACCAATAGTGAAGATAACTTTTTTCGGGGATAAATTCACTTGTTGTTTCACTGGACTGATAAAGATATTACGATTACTGGCTAAACGTCTAAAAAAAAAGATGCAAAGAATAAAAATGTCATTAGGAGTATTTTTATTTTAATCCAAATACATATATAATATACAGAAAAGAATAAAATAGTTGCCAATTAATGTTCAGAAAGAGCGGGACGTGTCCTAAACTGAGTAAACACTAATGATATAATAATCATAACCATTAGCGATGATGTAGTCTTTCTAGGTGAGGTGAAGACGCTGGCTGACAAAATCCAGAGCCTTCTGAAAACTTCGAGGGGCAGCAATCTTCGAATGTTTGGCATGCGATTCACTCCTTTTGTCAAATGTAAGATGATGATACTTCAGGACCGGACTACATTGACTCTTAGCTTGAAAAAAGAGAGTGAAGTAGTTGATGGGGCGTGTTGACCAATTCACACTCATTTAGGTAGTTGCATCAGACCCAACGCGTTGATCGCTGGCGACATCTCAGCACCGATATGCCAGTTTACGCCGTCTTTGATGTAGACGTGATATCCGGCTGGCTATCGACCAAAGGCCGTGTGTACTACTCAATAGTCCGCTCCGTCCTCCTTTATGTCTGTAAGACATGGCCATTGAGAGTGGAAGACATGAAAAGATTAGCTGTCTTCGATCATAGGTGTCTGCGTTCTATATCCCGCGTGAAGTGGTATAATAAGGTGAGCGACACTGAGGTTAGGCATCGGTCGAGTGCTAGGTAAGGAGGGGAAATCAATAGACGAGAATGTGAAGCTACATCGACTGAGTTGGTTAGGACATGTGTTACGTACGCCTAGTCATCGCCTTCCTCGGCGGGCAATGTTAGCTCACATATGGTCAGGTTGGAAAAGAGGTAGTGGTGATCAAACGGAAATATGGCTGCATCAGTCAATGAAATCCACAACAGTTAGTTTAAGCTAGTCACGTAGGAAGGTGTAGACTTCCTGGTTGAGTGGTCCTCGAGATGGTGGAAACCAATGGCTGGAGACAATCTCTGAAATGGCTCAAAATCGTTCTCAATGCATAGCGCAGATGCATCCACTCCTTTTGACTTATAATACCCAATGAAACTATATTGTTCTTCGATATTACTATTCTTTTTGCCTCATATCTCTGTATACTGTCTCTATTTTGCATTTCTTCTCTTGCTTTGTGTGCTACAAGGAGTGGAGTGTGGCGACTTGAACTGCTGCACATTGGTGCAAAGTTCTATGTTGAAACCAGTCAGTTAGTTAGTCATTAGAGTTCTAAATGAAACTTCAGTTGTACTGACTTTCAACTATTAATTGAGTGATGGCACTGTGTATAAAAAAGATTAAATAACTTTCGTACTTTGAAAGTGCATAATGTACGCGCACAATGCATACAGTGACTGAAGGTATTCATCATAATTATCATCTATGCTGTACACATACACAGTTATCCTCGGACTAATGAGTATTTTGAAAACTTTATTTTACGACACACTAACTGAGCGGTTTCACAAAAAAGAACCTTACATAGAAGTACAACAGTTGGAGTGGGCGCACAAGGGAAGACAAAAAAGGACAGAAAACAAAGAAATTCAAAAAAAATCCCGATAATAAGCAGAAATGTGAGGGAGGAGAAAGAGAGAGAATAGAGACATGAAAAAAAACATCACAGAGACGGTCATCAATGCATCTGTGCCATTAACAATGATTTCGAACAATATCTCCAATTGTCTTCAGCTGTCATTGGTTCTTAGAATCCCGAGGACTCCAACCAGGAAGCATACACCTGCCTATGTAACTTGCTGGCTCAAACTAACTGTTGACGATTTCATGGGGATTGATTCCATGTTTTTCCAAACTGACCTTATGTTAGTTAATACTGACCGTTAAGGTGGGTGGTGATGGCTCGGATTGCGTAACACATCTCCTAGCCAACTCAATCGATCTAGCTTCACAATACTACTCAACCTATTATACCACCTAACAGGAGAGATACAACACAAACGTTTATGATCAAGGAAAGTTAGTCTTTTCCATATGTTCCACTTTCAATGGCCATGTCTCTCACAACCATAAAGAAAGACGGAGCGAAATGCTAAGCGATGGCCATACAATGACATATGAAAAAGAAAAGGGTATCCTCCATCAAATCGACTATAGCATCCGAAAGAGATGAAATCGTGTAATTGACAGCTCAAAAACTTTGGTGAATTATGAAGTGTACCTGTCTGTCTGGGTTCAACATAGAACTTGGCACCGAAGTGCAGCAGTTCGAGTTGCCACGTTCCAAATAGCACACAAAGGTAGACAGGAAAATAAGAGAAGAGAATCAATAGAGTTTTGACAAGAATAAGAGTGAAACAGAATGAATAATGGTAGAAAGGGATATGAAAGATTACAGAGACTGAATACATCTGCGCCATGGACAACGATTTTGAGCAATGTCACCTATTGTCTGTCTCCAGCCATTGACTCTTAGAGTCCCGAGGGCCCCAACCCGGAAGTCTGCATCTCCCTACCTGACTCAGTTTAACTGTCAAGGATTTCATGGATTGATGCCATGTTTTTGTTTGGCCACCACTTACTCTTTTCCAACCTGCACCTATATCAGCTAGTAATGCCCGTCGGGTGGGGGAGGCGATGGTTAGGCGTGCGGAGCACGTGACCTAACCATCTCAATCTATGTAACTTTATAGCCTCTTCGATTGATTTTCCCTCTTTACCCAACCACTCTACGCCTAACGTCACCATTGCTTACCTTATTATACCACCTAACGTGAGAAAGAGATCGTAAACATCTATGATCAAAAACAGACAACCTTTTCATGTCGTCAACTCGTATTGGCCATGTTTCAGAGCCATAAAGAAGGACGGAGCAAACTGCTGAGCAGTACACACGTCCCTTGGTTGACAGCCGGATGTCACGCTTACGCCAGAGATGGTGTAAGTTAGCGAATGCAGCTCGAGCTTTTTGGATCCATGAGGTCTACCTTTTTCCTACCGTCAGGGATAATGTTTCGCTCCTCCATCCCCTAGCAGTGACCATGACGACTAAATTCTTTTTGACTTTATGGCAGAAGATCTTGATTTAGTTGTGTTCTCTCAAAGACCCAAAAAAAACACATACATGAATAATATCCCTGAAATAACGGCTAGAAAACTAAGACCATCTGAAGTAGATATAGCGCACAAACCAAGACAATCACTTTATTCAATATTATGCAGACCAAAGAATCTAACATCGAAAGAAGATAAAATCAACAACATCATCTGCAGAAGAACTTGCATAAACTGCAATAAATACTACATTGGACATCAAAGTAGGCGACCCCTTTCGAATCAGAATCCAGGATCATATATTAGTTGTGTGAAAACACACGGTATATTTATTCTTTCATATTAATGAATGCAAACACCAGTTTGATTGAGAGAATGTAGAAATTTCAAAATAGAAGAAACACCAAACAAGTGCCAAGGAATTTCTAGAAGCCTGGTACTCTGATCAATCAGCTATTAACAAACACATTACTATGGATCAAATTTACCAGCTAATAAAGAATAAAGCAGCATCGTTTCAACTACAGGAGGAACGGACGAGGATGTCAAATCGAGAATCAGGAAGGCGAGAAACACATTCATCAACCTGAAACCAATCTAGAAATCTTCGTCACTCAGCATCAACAGCAAAATTCAGATTTTCAATACAAACGTCAAGTCAGTCAGTTCTTCTATACGGATCAGAAACTTGGCCAGTGGGTCACAAAGAATATTTCCAACAGCCTGTTGCACACCTTTATCAACAACAACTGTCTTCTTTCTATACTGAAGATCAGATGGCCGACGGAAAGAATCACCAACAAGAAACTATGGGAACAAACAAAACACGAACCAATCGCTCAACAAATATGTAGGAGAAAGTTGAGATGGATTGGACACTCGCTGAGGAGGCCGCTGGGTGACATCGCACGTCAGGCCAACGCTCGAGTGGAACCCGAAAGGGAAGCGACGAGTGGGACATCCAAGGGTGACATGGAGGAGATCGTGTGAAAGGGAGGAGTTGAAACAGTATAGACTAAAATGGATGCAGGTGAAAAGTACAGCAGAAGCAAGTGGAACCGTGTAGTTGAGGCCCTGTGTTCCACTAGGAACCCAAGGGGACAATAATAATAATAAAGAATAAGTGCCTCACATAACAAGAAAGTTTAAATCCCAAGTCAATACAAAAATAATCAATATAAATTGACAACAAATCATAACAGTGGTTGTGTCAAGAGATACAGTTATATGATTCATGAAGAATTCAAAGAAGTTCATTTCATATTAAAGCTTGGACAAAAGATATCGTCTAAAAGGACAATTAAAGCATCCCAATTCAGGACTCCAGGTAAATATAGAGAAGACGGAGGGGATGAAGATAACCAACCAACGAACAGCAACAACAACCAGCACTATCCTTGGGGGAGATTTGACAGAGGTTGCTTCCTTCATTTATCTGGCCAGGAGGCACGGTTTCAACCACAGGTACACGGAAAGGATGAAGGTGTCAAAGCCAGCCAGAGTCAGAAAGGCAACATACACACACCTTTATCAACCTGAAACCAATTTGGAAATCTTCTACACTGCACTAAGCAGCATCAAGAACAAGATTCGGATTCTAATCAACACAAATTTGAAGTCAGTCAGTAAGTGATTCTATGGAGATCAGAAACTTACACAGCGGGTATGTCACAAAAAAGATTTCCAACAGCCTATTGCAGACGTTTACCAACAGCTGCCTTCTCTGGCTCCACACTGGAGATCAAATGGCTGACCAGCCGGTCAGAAAGAATTAACAAGGACAATCTCTGACTGGGAACAAACCAACAGGCGAGAGCCGATTACTCAACAAATATTTAGGAGAAAATGGAGATGAATGGACTGATCGGGCATTCGTTGAGGAGGCCCTACGAATGACATGGCGTGCAATGCAAGCCATCGCTCGAGTGGAATCCGAATGGAAAGCGACGAGTGGGTCGTCAATGCTCGGGTTGACATGGAGGAGATAAGAGATTATGGAGAA